CAACTAGAGATATCTATACAGAACACTTTTATCCATTGTCGGAGGTCAAGACCGAAGACCTCACTTCTATCACTATTAGCACAAAGAGTGCCTGAATTGACCATCATGCGAAACTGACGCCCAGGATCCTGAATAAAGAGACAGAGAAATCATTACGGGGTTCCTACTAAACATTCAGGATATCCCAATGAACTCAGACAAAAATCTACAAAACTACAGACAAAATCCCGCAGTCAGACAATGTCTGCTCACGTTCATCTTTTTTTCTTTTCTGCTTTGAATTTCTGCAGGGATTGGCTCTAACGATTTCCTTGCAACGATGAAAGAGACTGGTGATGACGGAACATTGAAGTGAAAGCAACTCTCATAACATATGCCCGTACTTGCAGACAGGAAAGATTACGTTTAACCTTCACACGCAGCCGTGTGGCAAGATCCAACTTCAGACCGTAATACCAGCCCGTCACCGTGAGGGAGAAATTCGTTCTATACTTTTATACCAGCTTATTTTTTAAACGTGCAGACATGGAGTAGGTGACGACTCCAAGCGAATAGCCGTGTAAAGTCAAGATACTCACGTTAGATCGTCGCCGTACATCAACTGTTCTGGTGGGAGGCCAGGAACCGGAGAGACAGCGAGGAAAGATGAAGGTTGCGACATTGTGGAGTCTAGGGGTATGGTGTCACTGAATCTGTATGCAGTACTTCCAAAACCCATAAAATTCATCTCCGGGTACTCTTCCAAAAGTTTAGGCATATCTTCGCTTTCAGCCATGTAACGCTTTTGTTTGTCGACTACTGCAACAGATTCGGACGGAAAAGGGCACTTACTATCAAACGCACAAAGCTGAAAGTACTCTGGCGTAATGTCTGAGGAACCCACCCATTCATATACGTGGGACACCATGCTATGCAGATTGAAAGAACGGGAAACGACACCATAGTAGATTGTTGAACTGAGAAGGTTGGTTGGAGAGATACCCGGTTTGTTTGCACATACAAACGTATGCGTGTGTTTTTAAAAGTATCTATGTATTACTTCAGCGCAAAGCGTTATCCATCAGCATCGAACTCCGAAATTCTTTGGCACTGGAAGTTTACCAGCAAAAATTCAAAATCTGATCCTATGTTCTCACTGATCCTGTGCATTCACTGATCAGATGTTCCCACTGATACTATGTTCCTACTGATCTCATGTTCCCACTGATCCTATGTTCCTACTGATCAGATGTTCCCACTCATCCTATGTTCCCACTGATACTATGTTCCCACTGATACTATGTTCCTACTGATCTTATGTTCCCACTGATACTATGTTCCTACTGATCTTATGTTCCCACTGATCCTATGTTCCCACTGATACTATGTTCCCACTGATACTATGTTCCTACTGATCTTATGTTCCCACTGATCCTATGTTCCTACTGATCTTATGTTCCCACTGATACTATGTTCCTACTGATCTTATGTTCCCACTGATCCTATGTTCCTACTGATCAGATGTTCCCACTCATCCTGTTCCCACTGATACTATGTTCCTACTGATCTTATGTTCCCACTGATACTATGT